CCACCCCCCCCTTCCCCCCCCCCCCTCCAGGCAAACGTCGCAACCGCACCACCCAGTCTTGCCTCAATTGCCATACCGCAAAACGCATGGTCTGTCTCCCTCCTGCCCACGCGCCCCTGCCTGTTCTGACCCCCCATTCGTCCCTCAGTGCGATCGCAAGCGACCCTGCGGTAGATGCACCCAACTCGGCCTTGTATGTTCCCCTCCCCCTCCCCCCCCTCCTCTCCCGCTGACACCCGTCTTTTAGACCGGGCTGTGCGTGTACGAGGTCGACGATCCCAGCCGCAAGTGAGTTTTCCACTTTCAACCGCTATTTGTCCCACACTGACCCGCGTCCAGGACTTCCTCTGGCGAAGCGCAAGACGAGCGCGACAGGCTCCAGAAGCGAGTCGCCGAACTCGAGAGCGTCATCCGCGAGGTAGCCTTCCCCCCGCATTTTCTGCAGCGTACGTATCCGCTGACACATCCCGTCCCAGCTCAAGAACAAACCACATCCACGCTGGGTGGCTGGCGCAAGTGCCGCCAGCAGTGCAGGCGAGAGCTCTGCACGGCCCTCCCTCTCGGCCATTTCCACAGACGCCATCCGGGCCAGTCCCCCTCTGCCCTCAGCGCCCAAATCATCTCCGACTTCGACTGCGAACTGCAGTCCGTCGCATTCAAATAGGAACAGTGTATTACTAAGCTCCACCGTCTCCCCATACCCCTCCTCGCACAACTCGCCCTTTATGGGCGCAAGCACTTCGCACCTCCCGCCCAGCCCCTCCCTCGCAGACAGCTCGCCCCTCGACACGCCCTCGCCGCTCTCGCTTTCCTCCGCCGTCGAGCCACAACACCTGTCCGGCGGCTCGTGTCTGCAGTCCGACTACGACCTCTCGTCGATGTTCACCACGTGCTCGACGGACAAGCTCGCGGGCGAGGACCCGCTCTTCAACGAGATCTGGGACCGGCTCATCCGCGAGAACGGCTGCAGCACGAGCCGGGCGGGCGAGCACTGCGGGTGCCTGCACGACCCCGCGAACTACAACGTCGTGCTCGAGCTCTCGCTGCGCCTGCGCAAGGCGGCGGACCTCCTCGGGCGGGTGCCGAAGCACAGCCCGGGCGCGGCGCCGTGCGCGATCAGCCAGAACATCGCCGAGCTGGACCGCCTCGCCTCGTACGTGTTCCCGCCCGCCCTCTCCGCTGACCGCGCACTCACGGCATCCGTCCCGCAGGAACACGCTGGGGAACATGAGCGCGCCGCCCGAGCCGTTCGCGCCGTTCCCGATGCGCGAGCGCGCGAACACGGTGCCGTCGTGCGCGGCGCTGCAGTACGCAGGGTTCGGGGGCGCACGGGCGGCGGTGCCCGCGCCTGCGCCTGCGCAGACGCTCGCGCCGCTGCAGCCGTGGGAGTACAAGAGCCCGCCGTCGTATCCGAGCCCGCCATGGGACGACTCGTTCATGTCGTGGGTGCCGCAGCGGCAATGAGCGCCCGCAGCCGGCGGCGCGCCTCGTGCCCATCTTGTTTTTTTTTTGTTTTGTTTTGTTTTTTGTTTCATTTTCATTCATCCCTTCTTTCACACTGTGTTTGTGTTTTCTGCTGCATATATGGCATGGGCTTGGCTGGGTGGGACACACTGTAGACGCGCACATAGAGCATAGGCGCACCCGTATCCGTATCCGTATCCGTATTCTCTGTACATACCGCGCCGGGAGGCGCCCGCATGTCATATTTACCGACTCGCAGAGTGTGTACGTGTGTAATTAGGCGTGGGGGGGCGTGCGTCCCCGCGTGGGGACATGTACAAAATCAGACGTGGATCAGACTGCAGCGGTGCGCGACCGTGCGTCGTTGGCCCATCTGCCGCACCAGGGACCTGGTGTCGGCCTGCTGATGGTATGTGGCGGGATAATCGGCTCTGCACCACTTTGTATCGTCGGCTGCCATGCGCGGGCGACGATGGGGCGGATCTCGAT